CGTCAAGTCGGTTAAGCCCAGACTCGAACCCGAAAAAACCGAAGATACGAAGATCTCTGAGAGCACCGCCTGATCTATCAGATCTGTGCACACCATGAGGTCCACATCCTGACCAGCTTCTCTAGAAGGTGGGGATTACTTGGGGGTTCACGGGTAGTTTTAAGTAGGGCTATATGTCCCCCCAAATATGGGTTATAATTCTAGTTACCCTACTTACAACCCCACTAAAGTGCAGTGAAATCTAAGGAGTTTTCTTAGAGGGCCGTCCGGGTCTTTGGCAGTTATGCTATAGCCTTCAGGAGCTCCACTTACTGCAGATGCGGCTGAAGGTTTGTTGGGAGTTTCGGGTCCTTAGGTTCTAGGGTTTAGGGCTTTAGGGGTTGGGGTTTGGGGTTTAGGGCTTTAGGGGTTGGGGTTTAGGGTTTAGGCTTTAGGCTTTAGGGTTTAGGGTTTAGGGTTTAGGGTGATTACCTTGAGGCCTTGAAGTGAACCCGAAGGCAGAACAACATCGCAATTGGGGTCCGGCCCTACACTCAAACACCGTGGCCTTAAAGCCCAGGCAAACCCGGAACCCTGAACACCCTAAACCTCGAGGCCCTACCCCCTTATCTCGGAACCAAGACAGGGAACAAAAACCGGTCTCTTTGATGCTGCTCCTCTTATCTTCCTGGGCTGCCTTTCTTGCATTCTCACTTCTTTGTGGCTTTCGAGCCCCTTCCACTCCGGCTCAAAACGATTTCTTCACTTTCTGTGCAACTCAGGGGGTGCCGGGGCTGTGATGCTGCGGAACAAGTGAGTTGCAAGGCTAGTTGGCCTTAAGGTGTTGCGGAAAGATCTCCAGCCCCTGATGTTGTTCCAGCACTTCTTCAGATCTGAAATTAACTATGTGACCCATTTCCCAGAGAGGGGCACTCTTCAAATAAAGGCTGATGACGCCCATCGGAATGTGGCTATCGCTACAGAGGCTGCCTCAAATGCAGCGAGAAGAAAGAACTCCTGTGTGGAAGGCAGGTGTCGATGGTGCTTCGGCGTCAGTAGTCGGAGTGGATCCCGTGTAACCCACCCGCTGAGCGATACTTGCTACACCCTAAACCCGAAGCCCTATAAAACCTAAATCCTAAACCCTATAAACCCTAAACCCTCAGCCCTATAAACGCTAAACCCTAAAACAAACCAAACCCTAGACCCTGTAAGCCCTAAACCCTAAACTGTATCCGCGGGTGGCTCTCCACGTGACTTCTTCGAGCGAGCGCTCAGCTCATCTGGACTGAGTTTCTTGAGGTATGCCATCTTATGGCTCTAGGGTTTCGGGCTTAGGGTTTA